TTGGTTCAGTACTCCGGTGTTTAGTTCAGTAGTCAGGTGTTTGGTTCAGTAGGCAGGTGTTTGGTTCAGTAGTCAGGTGTTTGGCTCACTAGTCAAGTGTTAAGTGCAGTAATCAGGTAGTAGTCAGGTGTTTGGTTCAGTAGTCAGGTGTTGGGTTCAGTAGTCAAGTGTTTAGTGCAGTAATCAGGTGTATGGTTCAGTAGCCAGGTGTTTGGGTCAGTCGTCAGGTGTTTGGTTCAGTAGTCAGGTGTTTAGTGCAGTAATCAGGTGTTTGGTTCAGTAGTCAGGTGTTTGGTTCAGTAGTGAGTTGTTTAGTTTAGTAGTCAGGTGTTTGGTTCAGTAGTCAGGTGTTGGGTTCAGTAGTCAAGTGTTTAGTGCAGTAATCAGGTGTATGGTTCAGTAGTCCGGTGTTTGGGTCAGTCGTCAGGTGTTTGGGTCAGTCGTCAGGTGTTTGGTTCAGTAGTCAGGTGTTTTGTTCAGTAGTCAGATTTTTGGTTCAGTAGTCAGGTGTTTGGTTCACTAGTCAGGTGTTTAGTGCAGTAGTCAGGTGTTTGGTTCAGTAGTAAGGTGTTTGGTTCAGTAGTCAGGTGTTTGGGTCAGTCGGCAGGTGTTTGGATCAGTCGTCAGGTGTTTGGGCCAGTAGTCAGGTGTTTGGTTCAGTAGTCAGGTGTTTGGTTCACTAGTCAAGTGTTAAGTGCAGTAATCAGGTGTATGGTTCAGTAGTCAGGTGTTTGGTTCAGTAGTCAGGTGTTTGGTTCAGTAGTCAGGTGTTTGGTTCAGTAGTCAGGTGTTTGGTTCAGTAGTCAGGTGTTTGGTTCAGTAGTCAGGTGTTTGGTTCAGTAGTCAGGTGTTTGGTTCAGTAGTCAGGTGTTTGGTTCAGTAGTCAGGTGTTTGGTTCAGTAGTCAGGTGTTTGGTTCAGTAGTCAGGTGTTTGGTTCAGTAGTCAGGTGTTTGGTTCAGTAGTCAGGTGTTTGGTTCAGTAGTCAGGTGTTTGGTTCAGTAGTCAGGTGTTTGGTTCAGTAGTCAGGTGTTTGGTTCAGTAGTCAGGTGTTTGGTTCAGTAGTCAGGTGTTTGGTTCAGTAGTCAGGTGTTTGGTTCAGTAGTCAGGTGTTTGGTTCAGTAGTCAGGTGTTTGGTTCAGTAGTCAGGTGTTTGGTTCAGTAGTCAGGTGTTTGGTTCAGTAGTCAGGTGTTTGGTTCAGTAGTCAGGTGTTTAGTTCAGTAGTCAGGTGTTTGGTTCAGTAGTCAGGTGTTTAGTTCAGTAGTCAGGTGTTTAGTTCAGTAGTAAGGTGTTTGGTTCAGTTGTCAGTTGTTTAGTTCAGTAATCGGGTGTATGGTTCAGTAGTCAGGTGTTTGGGTCAGTCGTCAGGTGTTTGGGTCAGTAGTCAGATGTTTGGTTCGGTAGTCAGGCGTTTGGTGCAGTAGTCAGGTGTTTAGTTCAGTAGTCAGGTGTTATGTTCAGTAGTTCAGTAGTCAGGTGTTTGGTTCAGTAGTCAGTTGTTTAGTGCAGTAATCAGGTGTTTGGTTCAGTAGTCAGGTGTTTGATTCAATAGTCAGATGTTTGATTCAGTAGTCAGGTGTTTAGTTCAGTAGTCAGGTGTTTGGTGCAGTAGTCAGGTGTTTAGTTCAGGAGTCAGGTGTTTTGTTCAGTAGTCAGGTGTTTAGTTCAGTAGTAAGGTGTTTGGTTCAGTAGTCAGTTGTTTAGTGCAGTAATCAGTTGTATGGTTAAGTAGTCAGGTGTTTGGGTCAGTCGTCAGGTGTTTGGATCAGTCGTCAGGTGTTTGGGTCAGTAGTCAGGTGTTTGGTTCAGTAGTCAGTTGTTTAGTGCAGTAATCAGGTGTATGGTTCACAGTAGTCAAGTGTTTAGTGCAGTAATCAGGTGTATGGCTCAGTAGTCAGGTGTTTGGGTCAGTCGTCAGGAGTTTGGGTCAGTAGTCAGGTGTTTGGTTCAGTACTCCGGTATTTAGTTCAGGTAGTCAGGTGTTTGGTTCAGTGGTCGGGTGTTTGGTTCAGTAGTCAGGTGTTTAGTTAAGTAGTCAGGTGTTTGGTTCAGTGGTCGGGTGTTTGGTTCAGTAGTCAAGTGTTTAGTGCAGTAATCAGGTGTATGGTTCAGTAGTCAGGTGTTTGGGTCAGTAGTCAGGTGTTTGGTTCAATAGTCAGATGTTTGATTCAGTAGTCAGGTGTTTAGTTCAGAAGTCATGTGTCTGGTTCAGTAGTGAGGTGTTTAGTTCAGTAGTCAGGTGTTTGGTTCAGTAGTCAGGTGTTTGCTGCAGTAGTCAGGTGTTTGCTGCAGTAGTCAGGTGTTTAGTTCAGAAGTCATGTGTTTGGTTCAGTAGTGAGGTGTTTAGTTCAGTAGTCAGGTGTTTGGTTCAGTAGTCAGGTGTTTGGTTCAGTAGTCAGGTGTTTGGTTCAGTAGTCAGATGTTTGATTCAGTAGTCAGGTGTTTAGTTCAGTAGTCAGGTGTTTGGTTCAGTAGTCAGGTGTTTAGTTCAGTAGTCATGTGTTTAGTTCAGTAGTAAGGTGTTTGGTTCAGTAGTCAGTTGTTTAGTGCAGTAATCAGTTGTATGGTTCAGTAGTCAGGTGTTTGGGTCAGTCGTCAGGTGTTTGGTTCAGTAGTCAGGTGTTTAGTGCAGTAATCAGGTGTATGGTTCAGTAGTCAGGTGTTTGGTTCAGTAGTCAGGGGTTTGGTTCAGTAGTCAGGTGTTTGGTTCAGTAATCAGGTGTTTAGTGCAGTAATCAGGTGTATGACTCAGTAGTCAGGTGTTTGGGTCAGTCGTCAGGTGTTTGGGTCAGTTGTCAGGTGTTTGGTTCAGTACTCCTGTCTTTAGTTCAGTAGTCAGGTGTTTGGTTCAGTAGTCAGGTGTTTAGTTCAGTAGTCAAGTGTTTAGTTCAGTATTAAATTTTTTTGTTCAGTAGTCAGGTATTTAGTTCAGTATTAAAGTTTTTGGTTCAGTACTCCCGTATTTAGTTCAGTAGTCAAGTGTTTAGTTCAGTAATCAGGTGTTTGGGTCAGGTGTCCGGTGTTTGGGTCAGGTGTCCGGTGTTTGGGTCAGGTGTCCGGTGTTTGGGTCAGTAGTCAGGTGTGTGGTTAAGTAGTCAGGTGTTTCGTTCAGTACTCCGGTATTTAGTTCAGTAGTCAGGGGTTTGGTTCAGTACTCCCGTATTTAGTTCAGTATTAAATTTTTTTGTTCAGTAGTCAGGTGTGTGGTTAAGTAGTCAGGTGTTTGGGTCAGTCGTCAGGTGTTTGGGTCAGTTGTCGGGTGTTTGGTTCAGTACTCCGGTCTTTAGTTCAGTAGTCAGGTGTTTGGTTCAGTAGTCAGGTGTTTGGTTCAATAGTCAGGTGTTTGGGTCAGTCGTCAGGTGTTTGGGTCAGTAGTCGGGTGTTTGGTTCAGTACTCCGGTCTTTAGTTCAGTAGTCAGGTGTTGGGTTCAGTAGTCAGGGGTTTGGTTCAGTAGTCAGGTGTTTAGTGCAGTAATCAGGTGTATGGTTCAGTAGTCAGGTGTTTGTGTCAGTCGTCAGGTGTTTGTGTCAGTAGTCAGGTATTTAGTTCAGTAGTCAGGTGTTTAGTTCAGTAGTCAGGTGTTATGTTCAGTAGTCAGGTGTTTAGTTCAGTAGTCAGATGTTTGGTTCAGTAGTCAGGTGTTTAGTACAGTAGTCAGGTGTTTGGTTCAGTAGTCAGGTGTTTAGTACAGTAGTCAGGTGTTTAATTCAGTAGTCAGGTGTTTAGTTCAGTACTCAATTGCTTAATTCAGTAGCGAGACGTTCAGTCCAATAGTGACTTGTTTAGTTTTGCAGTGAGTTATTTAGTTCAGTAACAAATAGTTTAATTTAGTAATGAGTCAGTTAAGTTCTGTAGTGAGTTGTTTAGTTAAGTAATAGTTGCTTTGAAAATACCAATTTAATATTTTTCTCATAATATTCCAGTTAACGTTTCCCACGATGTGGAGGGGTTGAAAAAACAGAACCCTCGAAAGGTTCCGGATTTTCATTTTCGCTAATTCTTGATGGTTGTGTTGGCTATTTCATATCAACCATTATGTAATCGGAATCTGAAGACGTACATTTTTTATTAATCATTTTGAATACACCATGTTGAAATGTACATTTTTAAATAGCGATCAGTAAATGATCAATTGGCTTTCTTTTTAAAATTTCATCTTCTATTTATTATCTAGGAAGTTTCTTATCTAAAACGTTATAAATCTAACTGAAATGTACATCTAAATCCCGACAGGTCTCGCTTTCATATAAAGGTTATTTTTGCGATGTCAGAACATCTGAACAAAGATTTAAACTCGGGGTAAAAAACAGTGAACGAAGTAAAACAGTAATGTAATATTTATATGAAGAATTTCAACGTCATCACAGCAAAATTATAGCATCATTTAGTAAGTACGGCATAACTCAAAAACATACATGAATCACTTCAACGTTATCAATCTTAGACGGTTCCTGCCAGTATATCTCGTGCGCACGTGCGCTTGCACGTCATGTATGACGATAACAGGAGATAAGATATTTTGAAGAATAACCTGTTAACGAGAAAAAATAAATATAATTAAATTATAATCGGATTTATACGCTGATATGAGGATCGGCAGGAGTGTTGTAGAAACAAGACTGATACTTTGTTATATTATTTCGGTTCGGAATCGTGTTTAATTTTAACGAGGAATACATTATCTTTAAAATGCACGCCTGCAATTGGTCACTTTAGTGCCACGAGGACGATGGGTTTGGTTTGGTTTTATTTTGTGTAACGTCCTATCAACAGCTTAGGTCTTTTAAGGACGTGCTTCTATGTGTGTTGTGCATGAGACATGGTATGTTTGTGTATTTGCCTCCTTGTGACAGCGCGGATCTGGTGCCGACTTTATAGTGCTATCTCACTGAAATACCAAATACAGCATTCCGCCCGGTAACACTATACTGACAAAGGGTTGGTTTTGGTTTTTATATTGTTTAACATCCTATTAACAGCTAGGGTCATTTTATGGCGTGTCTCCTTATGTGTATGTGTGCAGGTGGTGTATTTGCTCCTTGTGATAGCGCGGATCTGAAGCCGACTTCATAGCGCTTTCTCAATGAAATACCATGCCGAAGTCACCCAGCACAACATTCCGCCCGGTCACATTATACTGGCGATGGGTGCACCAGTTGTTGTCATTAAATGCTGCACGTTAAGCAGGGATTAACATCTACACCATTTTAAGGACTTTGGGACGTCCTGGCCTGGGGTTTAGAACCCACTGCCTTCCTCACCATTAGCTGTACATTGTACACTGGTACGTCCAGCAGCACCACCCGTTCTTCACATTTCAAGAACATAGCATATATATTATATTGCGAATGTTCGACTTCGCGATTGTAAGGATGTTTTTTTTCTATATTGATAGTTATTATCCATGACATAAAAATACGAATAAAAATGTTTCGTCGATCAACGGGGATATCAACTGCTCGCAAAAATAAGACTGATTTACAGTACTGAACTGATATTTTTCCGTCATTTTATTTTCTAGCGAATTGTTGGCAACAAGGCTTCTTGGTAAGAAATTTTTCCAAAAGACATTTCTCAATGGTGGTTTCCCAATTATGTTTCGTAGGATAATTATGACTTCATCTTAACAATGTGTTAAAATCTCAATTATGGAAACATTGAAATCTCGAACCACCCCTATGAATGTAACTCATATAATTGAAATCAAGGATGTATGCATGGGCTAAAACTACATAGACAACACAGCGTAGACTTGTCTCATCAATTTCACGATAACAATCTTATCCTTTAGGTCACATGTCTGAATCAGTCTTTGCTTTCACGTGTTTTCTGACATGCTGTTGCTACAAGAATAGCAGAGTAATTTCCCTTGAACTTAAATAGAACACTTTTTGAGTTGCGTCCAGTTAATAGCATTATTAAAAAAATCCCTACTATTAAAGTGTGTATGAAATTGTGGTTGAGGTAAATCTAGAAGTGTTTTAGTTTATTATTTCGTTTAAACCAATTCATATAGCTGTTTGATCATTTAAATCATAATATCCCACTATTGTCTTAGTTAAAATTACACTAAATCATAGACGTTACCAACATGAAATACAGGGATAATTATCCTTAAGTTGTACAAAAACAAAGTAAACTAAATCAAATTTTGAAAATGTGTAGTTGTTCTGCCTTGCAACTGTATAAACAAACCAAAGGTTTTTCATCGCATATCCATACTGTCGAAGATACCATAAATATATCTATCTATAGCCAATACCGGTTTTGTTTAGTATTATTTTGTTTTAACATCCTATTAAGACTCGGGGTAATTTAAGGACTTGCCTCCATATGTACAAAGTATGCGTGCATGTCAGAATGAACTGAATGCGGTATTTTAGTTTAGATTCCGGATGCTTGCCGTTTCATTAATGCGAATTACCTCATATTTGGAGGACAGAAACCGGAAAAAATATAAATTATTTTAATATTTTACGGAAATCTTTTCAGAAATATCGTCCTATCAATCTGAACAAGTTGCTGTTTGCCATTTTGTGAGTAAACTACTTGAATTTCAAATGTTTTTGTTGCTGTGGAGTTATTGAAATGATGCTTCTGGTTCAGCTCATTGATATCACGAATATCATGATTTCATTTCTGGCTCTTCTGTAACAGTATCCAACCGGAAGGTTTCCGAAGGATCCAAGGCGGGCCCTTCCCTCATAACATCCAGGCGCATCGTAAAAGACCGTTTCTTTCCTAACAACAATTCAAAAAATCAAAATTATTTCTTATTGAAAGTCTATAAAGTTCATTATATTAGTAACACATCACGAGGTAAAATGCACACTGGTTTCCGAAACAGTTAGTTTAGTTTAAACATATTTTATTGACAACATATTACCAAAGGGATTAGTCGGTAAGTTTTTCCAACTTATCAATTGACTTCTCCCGTAATACAGACAAATATAATAATACACAAAATTGTCACATGATGGTAAGAAAATAAATATGTTATTAATGAATTGGGTTCATTGAGAGAGAGAGAGAGAGAGAGAGAGAGAGAGAGAGAGAGAGGTCGGGGTTGGGGTACGGTAAGACGACAAAGGAGTATATTTAATTTTCTAGGTCCATAGTTTACGAAATGCTTGCTAAACAAATTATTTACCATCATAGACTTTTTTACATTAGACTTGAAAGAATTTAGTGAGGTGGAGTTTCTTACAGTGTTGTTCAAGTTGTTCCAGAATTTTAATATGGAAGGAAAGAAAGAATTTTTTGATAGTTGTAAACGGAAGTGCTGTTCCCGCAGTAAATGTGCATTTCGCAAATTATACGGAGCTATATTACCAATATACATTGGTAATAAGTCAGTAAGAAATTATGTTAGGTACAATGTTATTTACTATACATCTCTTCTTTTCGAAAGGGGTAACCATCCAGTTTCTTGATATAAGAAATCTTTTTTAGTGAATGTGGGCAGCCCTGTGACTATTCTTGCAGCTTCTAGATGGATTTTTTTCTATTAACAGGGCATTTGTTTCACCGCAGTTGTCCCATACGTCACATGCATATTCCAGTAGTGGTCGAACATAAGTAAGATATAGTTTTTAGTCCGAAACAGTTGTTTAACGAATGTACATGAATTTAGAAAAGCAATAATTAAAATGAGCACATCGTATTTGATGGTGTTCTCTGCAATAGCGGCGTTTCTCTCTCGGGATTTTCGATTTAATATATATATGTTAACATTTGATTAATAAATATTTTCAGAATGACATTGATTTTGTAATTTCGATTATTAAAAACACATTTTGATAATGCGTGAAATTATGAGTGCAAATATACGCTTATTTCTGCAATCTTTAGGACAGAAGACAAAGTAATATTGTGACAGCATCGTTTATACATGGGTTCTTTAACAGGTTAAATAAACTTATATTAGTCTCCTTTTATTTGATGTTGATAAAACTGTACAGGGCTGGAATAGTAGATAATCCTCATTGTTATTTTTGTAAATCAGACATTGAAACAATAGAGCATGCACTATGGGAGTGCAATCAAGTTCAGAATTTATTAATAAACTTTGAGTTTTTATTAGATGTTTTGTTTATTCCAATTGCTTTTAATAAGGAAACATTTATCTTTGGTATATGTGATCAAACCAGAACTCGATACATGGTAGATAACCAAATTATTCTTATTATAGAATAATAAGTTTATAAAGCAAGATGCCTAGAAAAAGCTCTATCAGTAAATGGCCTTATAAACTGTATAAAAGAGACTTATGAGATACAGAAATATATTGTGAATGGGAAAGATGAAAATCATAGACATACCTTCCAAAAAGACTGGGAAAAGTGGCAAAACCTTCTTAATAGCCCATAAAACCCTCAATTTCATGATTTATATGTAGAAAACCAATTAAGGGGTAACAGTAATAGATAGGAATACTCTAAGTATATTGAGCTGATATAATACAACTGTTACTGTACGATCGACAGGTTAATGTGATAAATTGTTCTTCTGTAACCAATCTCCATTCTCTCTCTCTCTCTCTCTCTCTCTCTATCTTTTCTTTTCTTTTCATATTTCTTAATTCAAATGACTATCATTTGTGCATTGTGTGTGTGTAAGTTTGAGCGAATGCCTGAGTATATTTTGTTATTGGTAATTTGATAAAGGACATGGAATAACTCACTTTGAAGCTGTGTTTGTACATGTGAATTGATGTATACAACGATTAAGTGAGGGATTTTAAATTTGTAAAATGTTTGTAAATCTGGAATGATGATGATATCATTATGAATTAATGATGATGATGATATGATGATGATGATAATAATAAGTTGATGAAGATACATATAGAATGATGAGTGAAGATTATAATTGAAGATGATGATTGTATGATGATGGTGATGATTGTATGATGATGAAGATATGATGATGATGATAATTATATGTTGATGATGATACATATGCAATGATGATTGGAGATTTTGGATGATGATGGATTATTGCAATGATGATGATTGAATAATTATATATGAAAGAGGATGATGACGATGATAAAGATGAATGATGATGATGATGATATGTTGATGATGATACTATGATGACAATGCAATTGATTGTGATAATGCTAAATCCATGTCCGTGTGTGTATATGTGAGAATGCGTGAATGTCTTGTTTATGTATATGTATATGTAATGAAAAACTTGGAAAAATAAAACCATTACAAAAAAAAAAAAATGTCCCAAAACTGTTTGTAATGTTTTAGTTGCGACTGGATCGTTTAAATGAAAACATGAAGATTCTTTTCTTAAATATTGTTTTTCTTTTCTTATTCATTATGTGTTAGCTATACTTTTATAATTTTAAGATACGATAAATTACAATAATTACCCGTTTTGTAGATAAATACGGTCGCCCCTGAAAGAACGGACAGCAAGAAACACGCGACGACTGTTACCGCCACCGGATGTATACTTGTTTTACCTGTAAGAACAATAACATAATCCATTCAATTTCCCCTCAGAAAAGGATAGCTCGTACTTTGATTTCTTTTGGATTAATAAATAAAAAGGAAAACAATTCAATGTGAAAAAAATTCGTATGCTGATATTTCAGACACGGGGATGTTTTAGTTTAAAGTCAAAGTCTGGATTGACAAGGTGAATAATGTGTACTATGAATTACGTATATGATAGTTTGGAACATACATTTCTCATGTGTTTGTTTTAAAGAAATTGATTCACAGCTTGGTCTATGTAACTAACTTTTAACAGATATATAAAACATGATTCTCTATAATGTTGTATCACTAAGTAGTATCACGAATGAGCCACATTATTGCAGATTTACTACGGAATATCTCGCCTTTCGGATTTTCTTCTGAACATTCATTCTCGTCCTCCCGGTTACGACAATCCTGGATTCCATCACAGACTCGGTCCTCCCACATCCGGACGGTTGTGTTGCCATGGTAACCACCGTCTAAATGAGGTACGCACTCGAACATCATGGCCGCGTTTCCTTTTCTTTTCATTTGATAACACATATCTTAAGTATAAAACAAAAGAACACATACATGCATTGTTAAGGGGGAGGGGTCGAGGTTTAATTATTTCTCATTCGTTAACCGGTAATATAAGCCTTTCTTTTCTTTCTTTCGATAATCTACTTTCTGTTTCTTGTAGGCCCCATGCGATAAGGGGTATTGGAAATGATGGCCGTTAAGGATCTAATAACAAATTAGCTTGTAAATGAATTTCGTATCAAACAGCCCCTACTCATATCCGATCGCCTGAAAAAAAAACCGAAAATTCGGTTTGCCCTGTTTACATTTTGGTAAAATGTCGGCTTCATAGGTCAGTCGTGATGAACTAGTATTTCAATGTCTCTCAGGAGCAAGTAGCACATTTGAATAAATACATTGAATTCGATTGAGACGGGATGATTAACCAACAATAACAGAGTCACGTTTTTGGTGCAGATGAACAATTAGACAAACATGCAACGAACCCCCAAAGTTACATACGACTGTTTGTGAAATCTCTTGGCACTTGGCGAATTAAAGAACACAGAGGGAACGTGTGCAAAACAATGGAATATTGTCTAGAATAGTCGGGAAACATGATTTATCTACCTAGCCGTTCGTCTGATCCGTCCTTGCAATGGTCAATCCTGTCGCACATAAACCAAAGTTCATGCCCCCTGTCATCGTTATACAGAGGTAGGGAAGGGCAGATAACTGTGTCATCCAAGCAGAGAAAGCATGGTCCTTTAGTTTCAGGTATTCGCTTCTCTACATCGTTGCGAATGTTTCCTGTAATGCAAAAACGAACCAAAACAAATATGGTCATATACTCGGAATCAGATGTTCGAAATGTAAGGAACTTTAATTGTGAAAGACAACATGACATGGGTTGTGATGAGCAATTAAAGGAGGCGAATGTATATTTTTCTTCCGCGAAATCGATTTCTTGCACGATACTTAAAAAATTTGACATGAGCATTGGCAGGTATATCTGCAGATGAAACGCGATTCATTTTCTGATCGGTCATCAAACATGGCCGCCGTAATGACTAATTGACATATATATAGGTGTACGCCAAGGTGATGCTAACGGCCTCACTCTTTGTCTGATTTTGCTCTAAGTCATTACAATGTATAAAGTATTAAGTGAATTATGGCATTTTAATTTCCTTCCAAGTGGCGGGGTATGTTATGTGTATGTAATTGCGTCTTTGTGATAGTGCGGATCTGATACCAATTTTATAGTTCGTCGTAGTATATTCACGTACATAATGTAATTTTTAAAATGAAAGGTATACGATACAATAAAGCTCTCAGATCCAGGGCGAAAGGCATGTAAATGTTCAAATGATATATATTCGAAAATGAATTTTAAAAAAGTTTAAAGTTAAATGAAAAGAATATAAGGTAAAATAATACGTACCACAGAACTCGTCTCGTCCGTTTCGGCAGTCCGTACGTCCGTCACAAACACGGCCAGGTTGGATACACTGAACTGGGGAACACTCGAAGGAACTGCTGTTGCATCTCGCTGTAATCAATAGTTATGTATGTTATGATATTTAAGAGCAAGTTTCGTCTGTTTGCTAATGCAATCTGCAAACCGCAGGGTAAGCAAGAAGATATTTTTGGTTTCGGCTTTGTTTTACGTCCTATTAACAGCTGTAACAACTGCAATTTTAAAGTACTTTTGTAGGTCCCGGTCTTAGAGACAGACCTCACTGGATTCCGCATCAAAAAGACCGTTCTGCAGTAAAGCCAAAAGTGATGCGGTGGAAAGAGAGGCGGTGTACTGTACAGATGAAGAATAAAAATGAAAGTTAAATTGAATTGAAAATGATAACATCCAAACTGTCGCAACTGAGTGCTTGTTACACATTAATGTCGCCCATTACATACTTGTCATGTGCCGCAATAGAAAATAAGATTTTTTTTTTGTATAAACGGGGTCGATGGATTGCATTGTCTGGTCCCTCCCTGCTTGTTGCGATTTAACCCATCCAGTTCAGCTCTCGGTTTCAACGAAACGCGGAAGCCCCACAACCATAGAAAGGCATAGGGGAATAATTAACTTAATATATGGTCGGCATAATTTTCCAAAACCTGCATTAGTTGATATGTGACTAATTAATGTGATCTCGGTAATACTTTATCATTACAGGCAATTAACATATAACAAACACGTCAATCTTCCTATTAAACACTTACCATCTGGGTAAGCTTCGATGAGGATTTCGCCCATAGTTTTCTGTTGATTGACGTCGTACACCATCCACATATAGTTCTCTCTGGATATTATTTCTAATCCGCGTACTACGTCACAAAATTTGTATGAAGTCATAGAAACCCTATCCGATCGATATTTGTCGTTTCCAATATGAAAGTAACCTTGATTACATCCGGAATACTGAGGAATATATTGAATGTTAATTTGTAAACGATAGCCAGGCGATGTCTTAATGTTGATCCGACATTTTCTTAATTGTAAGCTACCCCGTTTTTGTTGTAACATCCTTACAGTTCGGTTTTCTGTTTCTTTTGGCGTTGGTATGATGTCATGGGCACCATCGCTTAGGTATCTGATGATGTATTTGTCTTGTTTCATTATGTTCATTGTTTCCCCACAGAGAACTGCATCTAAAACAGAAAATAAATTCAATTACATATAAAACGAAACCCTTTTTTTGGAAAAAAATCCCTCGAACAAGCAGCTATTCTAAGGTTGATAAAACACGGTTTTTGCGTAAATAATGAACGGCATTTGGAGGTAATACTTTGAAATGATGTTAATGTTTTTTACCAATTGAAATATTCTTCAAATTATTTTTCCGAAGGCTCTGTAGAACAGAAAGGGAACCAGAATAGATGATATATATACTTTGGTACATCATTTGATAACATGTGTTCAAGGCGATTGCATGATCGTAAGAGGCGACTAAATTTGGGACCAATATTTTCTCTTCTTTCTAAACAACTTTCTTCTTCATAATGTCTCCCTTGACAATGCTTTATTTTTTTGCCATTAGTTGAGTGTTCGCCCTTGTGAGGAAGGCTTTGGGTTCTGTCCCCTGGCCGGGACATACCAGAGTCTGTATAAATGTAAGTTTCCTATACGGCTTAACGCTCAGCAATTTAGAGGTGGGACGACTGGTTCGCCCGTTGTCAGTATAATGTGATTGGGTGGGCGTGCCCTGCTGGGTGTCTTCGGCAGGTAGCACTTTAAAGTCGACATCAGTTCCGCGCTATCACAAGGAGACAAACACGAACATATCACAGCCTCCAAAATACACACGCATACACTACACGCATGCATCTTGCACACATGGGAGGCCGTCCTTAAATGACCATAGCTGTTTATAGGACGTTGAACAATACTAAACCAAACCAAACTTCTGCATAAAAATGGTTGCATCGTTTTTTAACCAACATCATGTTATGTTCATCTTTCGAACCAACTGTACAAAAAGATTGAAAGTCCCTATGTTGAGCCTGTAATATATGATTCAGGCGGAGGCGGAAGGCCATGGCAGATCACCAATTGTTATACTGTAAAACACGAAATATTCGTGGATACTTTCGTTCGTGGTTTGAAGCCATTTAGATCGTTTAGTGGTTCAAACTTTCGTGGATACACTATATAAACAAACAGTAGACACGTGTATCATTCAAATTTGTTGTATTTATTTTTGTGGTTCAATAGCAACCACGAATGTTTATACACAACAAACATTTTATGTTATACAGTAAGTGATCGGATAGTGTCAACATTAATTTGGGATTCTCTTACAGATCCCTGAACAATGGATTGACAGTCAAGTTTAGAATTACATGTGCTCAGAGTCTTTTTTTTTTTTTTTTTTTTTTTTTTTTTTTTTTTTTTTTTTTTTTTTTTTTTTTTTTTTTTTTTTTTTTTTTTTTTTTTTTTTTTTTTTTTTTTTTTTTTTTTTTTTTTTTTTTTTTTTTTTTTTTTTTTTTTTTTTTTTTTTTTTTTTTTTTTTTTTTTTTTTTTTTTTTTTTTTTTTTTTTTTTTTTTTTTTTTTTTTTTTTTTTTTTTTTTTTTTTTTTTTTTTTTTTTTTTTTTTTTTTTTTTTTTTTTTTTTTTTTTTTTTTTTTTTTTTTTTTTTTTTTTTTTTTTTTTTTTTTTTTTTTTTTTTTTTTTTTTTTTTTTTTTTTTTTTTTTTTTTTTTTTTTTTTTTTTTTTTTTTTTTTTTTTTTTTTTTTTTTTTTTTTTTTTTTTTTTTTTTTTTTTTTTTTTTTTTTTTTTTTTTTTTTTTTTTTTTTTTTTTTTTTTTTTTTTTTTTTTTTTTTTTTTTTTTTTTTTTTAATTTTTTTAATTTTTTTAATTTTTTACAAGACAACACAAAACATATATGACATTGTTCCTAATAACATGATTGTTCATACATATTAAACAAATATCATCATCATCATCAGACATCATCATCATCATCATCATCATATAAGATATTATTATTAACACATAAGCAGATATTAAGCAAAAAATTGCCAATGTCATGTACATACATAAAGACATACACTGAGACACTGATGCAAAAGCAATATATATAAACCTATGACATCAAACACACAAGAGAAAACATTACAGGGGATGGGGAGCACTCCTAGGTCATTATATTTTAACTTAGCCTGGCGAACTAAAATGTATGAAATATTTGATGATTATTATTACAGTGAGGAGACGATAAAGTACAATAGATGTATATATGTATAGAACAAATATGTCATATATATATATTTAGTCATATTATAATTGCATCCAGTTATCTATTTGATGGTTTAACTCATCCTTATTTATTGATTTATTCTGTTTATACACAAGGATCTTTTGTGCTTTTAATTCAAATTTTATATGGTTTTTGAGACTAGTCAGATTAAGGTCAATTTCTAGGCATTTAGTTTTATATATGTATTGTTTTATAAGTAGTATTATGATGTTTTCTAAATAAAACTTTGTATGGTTATATGTATGTTTATCAAAAAGGAATTATTGTTTTTCAAATCTTAGTGTAAGGTTTTTAGTTATAATATTTGTTTTCAAGTGCTCAGAGTCTTAGCAATACTTCCATATCAGCGCCGCGGTCAGCATTGGATTCAACCTTTAGTATATTTAGTGCTTTGATGCGTTTTGCCTTAAGATACTTGACATGTGGGAGGAACGATACTTTACTTTGAAAATAATGCTCTGGAAGTTAGTTTAATCAACTGCAGGAATGGGTTTAGTGAGATTTGGCTAGTCATTGGTTTTACGTAATTACGTAATACGGCACAACGTGTACACAATATTGTTATACACATGTATAAGTGTTTAATTCCGAATAGTGTGAAATATCTGAACTCTAAGGTCAGAAGCTGGTGGATGGATTCATAACATAATCACTATATTTTGACATTAATTTCTCTTGGATGTTTAATTTATTGTCATGGGTTATACAAGAAAATTTCTTGAGTAAGTCTTACTGTAGTGAAGATTTAAAACGGAGCTCACCATGAGCTCACTATATCAGAGCAGTGCATTTGTAATTTAAGTTGTATGCAGGAAAACTTTTGAAAACTGGCAAATATACATATGCAAATATAGTCTAGTCTCATAGCAGTATTTCTAATTCAGTAATCTACGAAAATAGTTTTTATTGGGCGTTTTCTCCCGACTTTACACAATTCGGTAGTTCTAGTTAACATGATAGAGAATTCAGGTAAAGTATAAACATACACCATATAATTGATTCAGATGTCCCCGTGTAACATAGTTCTTACGTTTGAAAATTTGAAGTATTCATGGATGAGAAGCACCAAGTTTCGTATTCCGTTTCAAACCTTCTGGTTTAAAATTGCCTTGTATGATATCACTGTCATCTACGAAAGGTTTACTCAGTTGGAACATTTATCATTCATAAATTATTTAGTAATTCTCTCAACTTACTAGGCCCTCTCCCGACAGTATGCATACTATGCACTAAGTTTGATCACGGACTTGGCAATCTAATTCCGTGGTTTGATAACGCGTGATGGTGAAACGGAAATATGGAATAAGACATACACATCTGTAAAACTAGAATTTATCCTATTAATTCTGAAGTGAAAACAAAACCCCGACAGTCTGGCCGAATCCTTAAAAACTCTCTGGTTATGAATTGGCATTTAACAAGACTGCGTATTTAACAGGACAGACACAAATTGAACGGTTATCCGGTAATTTGGGCTTTTGCTATATTATTTAATATAAATACATCATATTTCTTTTAGGGAAGTGTCAAGAGTCAGCATGTGGCAGCTTTAAATATTTTCCCTTTCAAACACATATAGCGTATTGCCTTAATTCTAATACATGTACAATGTTGTTCATGAAATATTTTCGTCTCAATTTTCCATCCCTATAGAACCAGAAGTGAGAGTTGTTTAACATGAAAAAAGAATGACTTACTTTGGTCAAATCCGGTTGCCAATATCAATCCCACAGCCGACATCACAAACGATGCTGGAATGAGAAATGCTATTAAGTAATCTCTGCTCAATTATTGTGTTTAATGGTCAAAGTTTGTTAAATTAGTTGCTTGCTTGGGGTTTAACGTCCTCGCAACATCAATGATCATATGGGGACTGGCGTGTGCTAAGGCTGAACGGATCCTCGACACAAGAGTGGCATTCTTGGCGGACAGTCGGTTGATTGAAAAGGGCTTAACGTCCTATCAACAGCTAATGTCATTCACGAATGTGCCCCCATGCGTGTTGTGTATGCGTGCATGAGTGTATGTATGTCGGCGACAGGGTATGTTGGTGTATTCTTTGCCTCACTGAAACAGTGCCTCTTTTCAAGACCATAAGCGTCGAAAAGAAACTTTACACACATCAATAACAACTAAATGATGAAATTTGGATAAATGTTAACATCAATGATATCAAGAGTAGTGTAAAGGACAATATTCCACCAACAAGGCCTTGAATACTTGTCATGGGGACTTGTTCAAAGCACACGACTCTGTGTCAGGTCACTACATTTGTATTTATGTATTCTTTCATGGTCCATCGACAATGCGTCATTTAGTGCAAAACAACACTAAGAATAAAAACTCACAAAATGTTTAATTCACTGTTGGCCGATAAGTACTGAAAAATTACATCAATATGTTTCTCGAAATTTATTAACAGGTATCCCCTACTGGTTGTTAGATATTTAATACAGTATCACGGACACAGTATTTGTTAGTATATTGACGCTTCGATACATTATATGTTTACTTCAATGTTCATCTGTGCAATGCTTTGTGATCATGTATTAGCGCTGTGATATATTGTGTGTTTGTGTATAATATTAAATATGATTTGTGTTCATGTATTAGATCTGTGATATATTATGTGTTTGTGTATAATATTAAGTATGATTTGTAATCATGTATTAGCGCTGCGATATATTATGTGTTAGTGCATAATATTAAATATGAATTGTGTTGATGTATTAGCGCTGTGATATATTATGTGTTTGTGTATAATATTAAGTATGTTTTGTGTTCATGTTAATGTATTAGCGCTATGATATATTATGTGTTTGTGTATAATACTAAGTATGATTTGTGTTCATGTATTAGCGCTGTGATGTATTATGTGTTTGTGTATGATATTAAGTATGATTTGTGTTCATGTATTAGCGCTGTGATATATTATGTGTTTGTGTATAATATTAAGTATAATTTGTGTTCATGTATTAGCGCTGTGATATATTATGTGTTTTTGTATAATATTAAGTATGATTTATGTTCATGTATTAACGCTGTGATATATTATGTGTTTTTGTATAATAATAAGTTTGTTTTGTGGTCATGTATTAGCGCTGTGATACATGTGTGTTTGTGTATAATGTTAAGTATGTTTTGTGTTCATGTTCGTGTATTAGCGCTATGAGTTATTATGTGTTTGTGTATAATATTAAGTATGATTTGTGTTCATGTATTAGCGCTGTGATATATTATGTGTTTGTGTATAATATTAAGTATGATTTGTGTTCATGTATTAGCGCTGTGATATATTATGTGTTTGTGTATAATATTAAGTATGATTTGTGTTCATGTATTAGCGCTGTGATATATTATGTGTTTGTGTATAATATTAAGTATGATTTGTGTTCATGTATTAGCGCTGTGATATATTATGTGTTTGTGTATAATATTAAGTATGATTTGTGTTCATGTATTAGCGCTGTGATATATTATGTGTTTGTGTATAATATTAAGTATAATTTGTGTTCATGTATTAGCGCTGTGATATATTATGTGTTTTTGTATAATATTAAGTATGATTTATGTTCATGTATTAACGCTGTGATATATTATGTGTTTTTGTATAATAATAAGTTTGTTTTGTGGTCATGTATTAGCGCTGTGATACATGTGTGTTTGTGTATAATGTTAAGTATGTTTTGTGTTCATGTTCGTGTATTAGCGCTATGAGTTATTATGTGTTTGTGTATAATATTAAGTATGATTTGTGTTCATGTATTAGCGCTGTGATATATTATGTGTTTGTGTATAATATTAAGTATGATTTGTGTTCATGTATTAGCGCTGTGATATATTATGTGTTTGTGTATAATATTAAGTATGATTTGTGTTCATGTATTAGCGCTGTGATATATTATGTGTTTGTGTATAATATTAAGTATGATTTGTGTTCATGTATTAGCGCTGTGATATATTATGTGTTTGTGTATAATATTAAGTATGATTTGTGTTCATGTATTAGCGCTGTGATATATTATGTGTTTGTGTATAATATTAAGTATAATTTGTGTTCATGTATTAGCGCTGTGATATATTATGTGTTTTTGTATAATATTAAGTATGATTTATGTTCATGTATTAACGCTGTGATATATTATGTGTTTTTGTATAATAATAAGTTTGTTTTGTGGTCATGTATTAGCGCTGTGATACATGTGTGTTTGTGTATAATGTTAAGTATGTTTTGTGTTCATGTTCGTGTATTAGCGCTATGAGTTATTATGTGTTTGTGTATAATATTAAGTATGATTTGTGTTCATGTATTAGCGCTGTGATATATTATGTGTTTGTGTATAATATTAAGTATGATTTGTGTTCATGTATTAGCGCTGTGATATATTATGTGTTTGTGTATAATATTAAGTATGATTTGTGTTCATGTATTAGCGCTGTGATATATTATGTGTTTGTGTATAATATTAAGTATGATTTGTGTTCATGTATTAGCGCTGTGATATATTATGTGTTTGTGTATAATATTAAGTATGATTTGTGTTCATGTATTAGCGCTGTGATATATTATGTGTTTGTGTATAATATTAAGTATAATTTGTGTTCATGTATTAGCGCTGTGATATATTATGTGTTTTTGTATAATATTAAGTATGATTTATGTTCATGTATTAACGCTGTGATATATTATGTGTTTTTGTATAATAATAAGTTTGTTTTGTGGTCATGTATTAGCGCTGTGATACATGTGTGTTTGTGTATAATGTTAAGTATGTTTTGTGTTCATGTTCGTGTATTAGCGCTATGAGTTATTATGTGTTTGTGTATAATATTAAGTATGATTTGTGTTCATGTATTAGCGCTGTGATATATTATGTGTTTGTGTATAATATTAAGTATGATTTGTGTTCATGTATTAGCGCTGTGATATATTATGTGTTTGTGTATAATATTAAGTATGATTTGTGTTCATGTATTAGCGCTGTGATATATTATGTGTTTGTGTATAATATTAAGTATGATTTGTGTTCATGTATTAGCGCTGTGATATATTATGTGTTTGTGTATAATATTAAGTATGATTTGTGTTCATGTATTAGCGCTGTGATATATTATGTGTTTGTGTATAATATTAAGTATAATTTGTGTTCATGTATTAGCGCTGTGATATATTATGTGTTTTTGTATAATATTAAGTATGATTTATGTTCATGTATTAACGCTGTGATATATTATGTGTTTTTGTATAATAATAAGTTTGTTTTGTGGTCATGTATTAGCGCTGTGATACATGTGTGTTTGTGTATAATGTTAAGTATGTTTTGTGTTCATGTTCGTGTATTAGCGCTATGAGTTATTATGTGTTTGTGTATAATATTAAGTATGATTTGTGTTCATGTATTAGCGCTGTGATATATTATGTGTTTGTGTATAATATTAAGTATGATTTGTGTTCATGTATTAGCGCTGTGATATATTATGTGTTTGTGTATAATATTAAGTATGATTTGTGTTCATGTATTAGCGCTGTGATATATTATGTGTTTGTGTATAATATTAAGTATGATTTGTGTTCATGTATTAGCGCTGTGATATATTATGTGTTTGTGTATAATATTAAGTATGATTTGTGTTCATGTATTAGCGCTGTGATATATTATGTGTTTGTGTATAATATTAAGTATAATTTGTGTTCATGTATTAGCGCTGTGATATATTATGTGTTTTTGTATAATATTAAGTATGATTTATGTTCATGTATTAACGCTGTGATATATTATGTGTTTTTGTATAATAATAAGTTTGTTTTGTGGTCATGTATTAGCGCTGTGATACATGTGTGTTTGTGTATAATGTTAAGTATGTTTTGTGTTCATGTTCGTGTATTAGCGCTATGAGTTATTATGTGTTTGTGTATAATATTAAGTATGATTTGTGTTCATGTATTAGCGCTGTGATATATTATGTGTTTGTGTATAATATTAAGTATGATTTGTGTTCATGTATTAGCGCTGTGATATATTATGTGTTTGTGTATAATATTAAGTATGATTTGTGTTCATGTATTAGCGCTGTGATATATTATGTGTTTGTGTATAATATTAAGTATGATTTGTGTTCATGTATTAGCGCTGTGATATATTATGTGTTTGTGTATAATATTAAGTATGATTTGTGTTCATGTATTAGCGCTGTGATATATTATGTGTTTGTGTATAATATTAAGTATAATTTGTGTTCATGTATTAGCGCTGTGATATATTATGTGTTTTTGTATAATATTAAGTATGATTTATGTTCATGTATTAACGCTGTGATATATTATGTGTTTTTGTATAATAATAAGTTTGTTTTGTGGTCATGTATTAGCGCTGTGATACATGTGTGTTTGTGTATAATGTTAAGTATGTTTTGTGTTCATGTTCGTGTATTAGCGCTATGAGTTATTATGTGTTTGTGTATAATATTAAGTATGATTTGTGTTCATGTATTAGCGCTGTGATATATTATGTGTTTGTGTATAATATTAAGTATGATTTGTGTTCATGTATTAGCGCTGTGATATATTATGTGTTTGTGTATAATATTAAGTATGATTTGTGTTCATGTATTAGCGCTGTGATATATTATGTGTTTGTGTATAATATTAAGTATGATTTGTGTTCATGTATTAGCGCTGTGATATATTATGTGTTTGTGTATAATATTAAGTATGATTTGTGTTCATGTATTAGCGCTGTGATATATTATG